TATATATATATATATATATATATATTAGATAAGTTATCTTTATTTATATTAAAAAACATATATGAGTCAAGCCTTACATAGGTTGTTGTGGAGGTAAAGTTCTAGATTTTAACTTAAATGCGTTAATTATCTCATCATAAAAGGTTTAAATTAAAAATGAATAATTTTTCAGCTTTTTATTTCCAAAATGTCCAACATAAAATGTAACTTTATTATTATTTGATAACATTTCAAAGTTCTAAAAAAATCAAATTTATTAATTACATAGTTTTTGTTTTTTTTTTTAACCATGGTCTAAAAAATTAGCACATTCAACAGTTAAAAGTGTGTAAAATTAAATGCATTAAAAAGTGAATGAATAAAAATAAAAAGAAATTGTTATTCTACTCACCTTTATATCTTCTTTTCCTTATTTCAAAAGAAATTTCCTCAGATTAAATAATTCTAATGTATTATGTTCAATCCCCAGATATGAATTTCAGGCTGTATATTTCTGAATCCCTCTGATGTCCAGAAGTATCTGTGACATCCGTTTAGTCTGTGTCACTATTTAAGCTCTAGAAGGTAGGAAGGAGGAAGAAGGGGTGGAAGAAAGCAGAACAAAAGATATTAACAAGAGTAAATACAAATTATAGGTTATAGGTGTGGTTCATTACTTAGGGAATTTTGTTTTTTGAGACCTCCCATGGAATGCAACACACTAACTCCAACAGGAAAAGAATGGGTTTTACCATACTTTATCTGATTTGCAGTCATGAAGTAGACTGATAACTATAAGATTTCTTCAAATTGTACGTCACAGAGACTTATTCCTAAAATAGGTTTTATCTATCGTTAAGTCTTTAATTGATCTAAAATACGGCATAACAAAAAAGCATGGCTTATGTTTTATTGCAATTTTATTCTTTTAAAATATCGAGATTTGATCAGTCGTTAAAACTATTTTGTGACTGGACTGGATCAAATGATTTTGGATTTTAGCAGCTGACTCTTACTGTAAGTTTTAGTACCCTAAGAACTTTGTACTACACACGAATCAAGCATCAATCAGCTATGGTTGCCACAATTCAGGTAAGCCAGTAATATCACAATTAAGATTTATCATAACTATTTATATCCATACAATCTATACTTAATATGTGAGGGACCTTTTTACTAAAAATACTTTAGTTCAATTAAAAGAAACAAACAAAGCTGAACTGAAATTATTCAAAATATCACGTTTATCTGGATAATAATCATGTTTAACCCCATTAACCCATCAATTTATCTACTAATATTTAAACTGCAACATTTAAAAACAAAGTGCATTCCAGTGCAAAGCAGTGGTTCTCTATTATTTTGTACTAATTTTGGTCTTATGAAACACTGTCTGTCAAAAGATTGCTCATGCCAATGGATTCTGATCAAATGAAGGAGAAAGAAATAGAGAATTAAGAAAATCTAAACCCTTTCAAAGGCTTGGAAATACTAATACAGTTTATTCTGTAGACATCCTGTGTCAAATCTGATGTTTTAATGTTAGCGGTTTGGTGTAGCACACCGGTATTCATGTGTGTTGTACATGTTTTCATTTCCACAACTCTTGTCTTGACACTTTAAAAACGGCTTTTTGCCTCAGGATGTGAGAACAACACAGGACAATGTACACGCATGCATGCTGATTTCCAACTGCACAGTTAAAAATAAAAACATGAAACAGGTTTGACAACACATTAAAACGCAAGATGTTATGCGTTCTTAATTTCTCTCTTTTGTTGTTTGTTTTCTGATGAAGACCTGACAAAGATGGGCAAGTCAAGACAAATTAGAGCCACACCTTCTGACGAACGACGATGGTATTTCTTATGGTCAGCAAGTTTTACAAATCATTTTGCACATCATGATACATGTCTGGTTGTTTTTTTGATTGTTTTATTCTGTTGGACTGTTTTCTGTTTAGATTGTAACTCCTCCATCTGAGCTTCTTCATGTATATTGTCATTATCTGTAGTCATCCTTCCTCTGTGCTGCATTAGATCATTCAATCCCCAATGTATTTGCTCTCTTTTGTCATTTGTTAGTAAAATCATTCTGACCAGTTTCTGTAGACTCCTTTCTTCCCTTTTGCCTCATGTTCTCCTTGTTGGTTTTAGTTGGATTAGTGGACAGTGGATTAGATTTTGCCTGCATTGAAATAAATGTTATGTACATTTTGTAACTTAATTTAAGTCAATTACCTAAGTTTACTGATTAGCAAAAAATATGGTTCTTTTAAATATTTTTTATTTTATTTCAGAAGCACCTGATTGACATGGATTCAGTAGCAACTAAAAGGCCTTTAGTAAAATAAATGTAGAACTGGCATAGAAGCATGTGTTGATGGAATGAGGACACCAGTCTGTCACCCTTTACCTCGGTAACTGCCATGTCAGCCCTGGGTCAAAAAGGTTGTCTTTTTTTGGCTTACACCTAGAAACATACCTACTGTACATCCAGGCATAGATTCCAATGCTCTGTCATCTGACCAAGAATCTTGAGATGAGCAAGACAATTGATGTTGTCTCACCAACCAACACAGGTACTGCAACAACCCTCAATATTGTTCCCCAGGAATCTAAGCATCAGTACAATACAAATGTAGTTCAAATTTTCTGCCAAGTATAAACAAATATGAAAAAAATTAAACAGAGCTACCAAATCTGAAAATAGGAGGATTGATAGAATTAAGTAGTATACTAAGATTATTCAATATTAGTCTGAAACATATTTTCTTTCAAGAAACTGCAGAATTCCTGAGATAATTTAAATCATGGTTGAAAAGATGTTCAGTTTATTTTGCTTTACAAAATGGGTAAAAATGGGTAAAATAATAAGGAACTAAGAAGGACAAACTTGACTTAGGCATTTACAGAAAGACTAAACATGCACAGCTTTGCGGACATTGTTGAGGTTTTAGACCATGTGGACAGTAGATAGCTTTCTGGTATTTACATTTTAACTGAACTCTCCTGGACCTTGAACACCTCCCACTGACTGAAATGCCTCTCAGGAAGTTCAGGTAGACTGGTTTCTCTACTCACTTAATCACAAATCTCTACAGAGCTACAATTAAAGCATATTGTGCCTCAACGTGACAGTGAAGTATTGGAGCTACACAAGCAAATGTGGGATGGCTGGGGTTGGGGATTAAAGGAAAATATCCCAAACCAAATTAAAAAATAAAAAACAAAAAAACTGCTGTTGCTAGATAAATAATTTCATAAGTAATCATGTGATAAAAATAACTAAAACAAAGTCATTAATTATGATCAAATGGAAATAAATATTTATATCTGCTCATATTTACATACTTAGATGCAAAAAATTACCAGATGATGCAGTCAGTTCTAGCCACAAGGTTTTTCTTTGTTGGCTTGCTGGCTTTATTTATTTGAGAGATTATGAGTCTTTTGGTCTGCGAGAAGACTCCTCCTGCCTTTTCAGCAGTGAAGATAGTGTTTGTGTCTTGATAGTTTCCCTAGCTCACCAGTGTCTGAACACAATTGTCTGGTGCAGCACACGTGCAGCTGCTTCGCCATGGAGTAACGCAATTGTTATTGTTGTAATTGGTACTATATGTTGCTAACAGATGGAATGGATTTTCCAGTTAAATTGCTGCTGAGCTTCTGTAAAAAGAATTCTGTATTCTTTGGCCAGGTCAGGTTGCCTGTTATGTTTACACACACAAACCTTGTGTTTTCCTCCATTGATATGCAATGAGGTGTGACTAGTCTACTTCTTTCTGGGGTCAACAGTCATTTATTTTGACTTGTTGACATTCACGGAAGGTTTATTTTTTTTTTTTTTTTGTCTGTGCCACTTCCCTAGCTTATCTATAATC